AGAGATGTGCAGTTCATGTCAACACCAAGGAAACAACTGTCAACCCATAAAGGAGCCATATTAGCTATAGGCCAACACCTAGTCTTTCCCTGGAGAACAATCAGGACTTCTATAGATAATCTGCCTTCCCCTCTGGAGAAATGTGCAGTTCATGTAAACTCCGAGGAAACAACTGTCAACCCATCAAGGAGCCATATTAGCTATAGGCCAACACCTAGTCTTTCCCTGGACAACATTCGGGACTTCTAAAGAGTAGTCTCTGCCTTCCCCTCTGGTTGGAGAGAACTCCATATTGAGCTTGTTTATTACATGTAAAAGGAAAGTAACAATAGAATCTTTAGAAGCTTGTGTGACAGCCCTTCACTTTATATCATCAGAATCCTTCATGGTTTAACATCTTCAGATTAATTATTTTGACCTCGATGATTAAAGATTTCGAGTGTCTATACTCTATGTATGAGCATTCATCCTCAACTTGAGTGGTCTTGTTATTCTTCTTGCAATCTATTTTTCTTTCCTTTCATTGTTTTCTTTTTGTATTTACTTCATGCTTTTCACAAGATAAGATTGTAGCCTAAATGTGTTTATCTCAAAAAAAGACAATCAGACCTACCTCCTCTTAAATCTATTCCATCTTTGGTTATTCAAGGATAGTAAAATCTCCATGTACGACCATGGCCAAATACTCTACTTTATGATCAAGTATATCCAGACCAATGCAACTATGTCAGCACGGTGCAGCAGCTCATGCCATCAATATATCAGGTAATGCAAGCAAAATTATCATTAACACTATTGTTTCAAGTTGATAAGTAGTATATTAACTAAGATCAGCATTTATAGTTTCCCTCTGTTCCCAACCAATAAAAATAAAATAATTAGAAAACCATCCCCCCGACCCCTTCATAGCATCCTAGTTTTCCAAAAGTTCTCAACAAGAAAAAACTCGGGTATTATCTATTTTATAAAAACACAATCTTGGAAAGGTATTATATTTTGTTTTCCCCTGCAAACCCATCCTCAACAATAATAAAAGTTGCAAAATCACTTCTAATCCAACTCCCACTCCAATGTACTATTCAACCACAATAACCATATAAATGGAAATCTGTGTTAAACTATCCCACAATAATCATGAACAAGAATCAACCCTCTCCATTTGTACTTTAATCTTGTTACTAAACAATGGTCTCAACACACGAACACTTGAAAAATCAAGTACTTCAATACAAAGGCCTCCATCCATTACTAGTTATCAGCTAATCTGTCAATTCTATTGACCCTTCCAATAGGAACATCATATTTTTTAAGGGGTAGCAAAAGTCCACACTTTAACAACAACTCCTCCCAGTCTAACAAAAAGGGGAATTAAACAAGGTAAAATGCTAAAATGAAGATCTTGGTACATAGTTAAATCCAAACATGAATACCATGCCCTCTATGCATTTTCTCTTCTAGTCTATGCTCATAATTGAACCCACCGAGGTCCTGTTGCACCAAAACAATTAAGATGCTTTGTTCCACCAAAATTAATCTACAAAGAACCAAGATGTATAACCATGTAAAAACAATGAGATAGAGAAATATGAAGAACCACACAAATGAACCAAATAAAGAACTTTGTACAGCTCTTAGTACACTAGAATACAACAGGCCCACATTTATCAATCAGTTTAACTAAATTTGTGAATGCTAACAAGAAAACTAGTTAGTTTCATTTAATTCTTTGACCCTACTTGGATATGTAGGGAAGCTTAAGATGCCTCAAACAGGCAAACACATTTTTGCTGAAACTTTTGTCCTATCACAGTCACTGCTAACAATAAGTCAAGAACAATTTGACAGATGGCAATTCTGAATTCTTAAAACAAATATTGTCAGAAATATTAGATTTCAGCCCATGCTAGTTCACTGTTAATATTTCTCCAGCTAGAAGCTCTCTCTTTATGATATAAAGAGACACACTGGAAATGAATTGGAGCAAGTGTATCTACCATGATTCCATTGTTTTTTAACAAAAGAAGAAACAAGTGACCAAAATTCCATTTCCACTTATAGTTGAGGATGGCTGAGGAGCCATACAGGTGAAATCTAACAAAAAATTATTGCACTAACCTGATGATATCATGATGAATGATAAAATATAAATGTCTAAGAAAAAAAACTCAAACTATTGAACAAAGAGTAGCCACTATTGCACTAGGAAGGGTTGGACATATGCAGCTTTGACTCCATAGTTCCAAACAATCATTCTTGTAGTTCAAAACCATGTCTATTACCATCTACATGGACAAATAAGAATATCTAATGCAGCACAACTTTGCACGAACAGGGAGGCAACAAAAAGAAAAAGATGAAGATCAGTTAAAATAAAGAAAGAATAATAGCTTACGTAATTTCTGTGCAATTGAAGCAGCCTCAGCAACACAACTGTCATCCGAAAACAAAGATGAAAGTTCCATGAGGTCACCAGGACTGCTGTTGAACTCCATTAAGTACTGCAAACATTATTAAATAAATAAACCCAAGGTTTTCAGCAGAAAATGGAAATAGCAAAAAGAAAAAACCACAAACAAAAACAGCCTCAAATAATTGCTTGGCTACCTTAATAAGCTCAATGGTTTGACTAGCAGTTTTCCTCTGAGAATCTGCATTCTAACAATTAAAAAATAGAATAAATAGAAATTTTACTAAATCTTAAACTAAAAGTCATGCATAGGCTTCAGGCATTTTTGGAATTAGAACTCCGTGGGAACAAACAGCATGTGTACAGTAGTAATATTTTTCTGAGTAGTGCTTCTTTATCAACCATTAAATGCAAAGAACTTTACCTGCAGATGGTCCCCAATCTTGGCAGCAGTCTGTCCCACACTGGAAATCCTTGTGTCCAGCCTCTGAAAGCTATGATGTAAACCATCTACACCTTTTTCCAGCTGAAACATTTAACACAAGAGCAAGCAGGTATGCATATAAGATATCAATGATCACTGTTTCAAAGATCAACTTGTATAGTTTCACTGTAGTTGTTGCTAACATGGGGGGAAAGAGCACTTCATCTTATGTGGTAAAAGGCAAATAGAAGAAAAGAAAATCTCCAGGTTTCATGAAGCTGACTTCCTTGGAACTTATTTTCTTAGGCAAAAAAAGAGAAAAATAAAAGCAGCTTCATCTAGTCTCATCATGTACACAAAATCTTGTCCATGCATGTCATGTACCACATAGATGGTAGTGTTTGAACTTTGAATTCACTAAGCTCCAAAGTCCAAACATAAGGTGGAGCCTAGAATATCTACACTGCTAGCACAAGTTTGCTTTCAATAATATTCAGTTGAAAGTACAAGTCTATATGCTTGCTCTGGTTATATCTGGTTTTCCCTCTTTAAATATTCAAAAAGCATTCAAAGTACTGTGAAAACAAACGTCTGATACAGAAGGAGAATGCATTAGGAATTTCCTTTAGGTTGCTTTGGAGAATTTAATGTTCTGGACCTCTGGTAAGCATTAAATTCTGCAATTAATGTCAATAAAATCAATACAACTTATATGCAGATCAAACTAGTTCAAAATTTTTGAACATTCAGCACAATATATAGCTTTATAGAATGTGCCTTTATATTTGACCATGAGTGAACTATAACATATTTTTGCCCTGAATTAATAAGATCTTATCTAGATTCCTAAAACTTCAACATCAGCCTTTCCATTGAATAACAATAAAATTCCTCCCTCTAATCCATGCATGTTTCAGGCAACATGGTCATAACCATTAAATAATCTTTTCTAGACTCCATTTTGACTGAAAAAACCTTAAATGTCACATCGATCAGGATGTTGCGTGTAGTAATACATTGGTTCCCATGCAACTATATGCCGAAAGTAAACCATAAACATGAATATTCTTCCCTTCCACTGTCAGAATGCATAATTAGCTCAAGCTGAAAATCTATTATGACAGGCTACGTTCATACATATCACATTTCTGTCCCTCATCAATGATCCTGCACCAGAAATCTATAGCAGCAAACACAAGAATCCACCCAAAAATATACATGTGACACACACTGTTAACACTACTAATGATCTCATGTTCGACTAGCAAGGAAAATATGCAAGATCCATCTTTCACCAAGGGTCTCAAAAGTCCAGAGTTGGTTAATCTCAATATACTTGCAGACAAAATGATTTCCAGAAGCGAGATCTTCGGTAAATAGGAAAAATTTTTAAAATGATTCATGAAACCTTTGGATCAAGTGCCGCTAACAAAGGTTGTTTTCTTCATAGTGAACTGTATCCAAAAAAACATTTTGTGCTGACCTCAGCAAGTGTCTTGCGGTGCTTTGAATCTTGGATTTCTACATCCTTTTTCAGATTCTGGAGTCTCCCATCGATCTTCAACCAAAAAGTGTAGATAGTTTAGATCACTTCACATCAGCCTAATCATCCAGCATTTGATACGAAAATTTTGGAAGATAAAATACCTGCTCCCTGAGATCGACCAACTCCTTGCAGGAATCCTTGAAAAGAGCAAGGAGCTCCTCCACCGCCGGAAACATTGGAGTCGCCGCCCCCTGCGGGCCCCGCAGAGTCCCATTTGGAAACATGTCCTGCCCACCTGCGCCATCGGCGGCATCCACGTCGTCCTCTTGGAACGACGGAAGGAGCTCGTTCACTAAGCCGCCGAACAACGCATCAAACGAGAAATCTCCCTACAAGATCCAAGAAACAAATCAACCACCAAACAGAACCGAATCCAACCCGAAAAGAGATCCTAAAAATGCAAAAGGAAATACCTTGAAATCTTCTACGTCCAAGATGAGAGGGAGAGTAGCGACCGACGCCTTTGGTGATCCCATAGGGAATCGACGCGTACAAGACCGATTCGAAGGGTTCGATCGGAGACAGTGGACGAAGAAGACTGGATTACGGCTCCAGATGTATGTGGGTGACACGGTCGTGAGACGGCGAGCCGGCCGTCGTTTCCTTGATCAAACGCTGTTATCGGTAAAGACGCGAAAAGTAAAGCCTTTTTTAACGGACAAAAGACGGTCGGAGACGAAGAGCGTAAGCACAGGTTGGCTTTCGGCGTCGAGTGGTTGTTACTTCGTCCTCCGCAGGCACGCGCTGTTGAATTTGGCACACACATAATATATAATCAGCATAATTGTCCAAATAATATCTGATAATGATTGCTTAATTATATTTTTCAAATAAATCCTGAATAATAATATTGGTTAAATATGATCTGCAAACTTTTTTTGGCTTATCGTCTGGTTGCTGACTTGACCATATTTGCCATATCAATTAGGGGTAATTATATATTACCTCATATAATTAATTATGATTAGTATCTTAATCCTAATATTTTAAAAAAATATTTAATCCTAATTCTTTTTACTTTATAATGAATAAGTGTGTAAGTGCGACGAGTGAGCAATAAGCGGGCGACAAGTGTGATGGGTGGTAGGCGAGTAAAAGTTTATATAAAATTAATAATTTAAAAATAATAAATTTATGTTTTTTTCATTTCCATTTGTGCATATGTTATCACGTATGTTTTTTTTCGTCGAGAAAATTAACAATATAAAGAGAATTGATGTTAAATGTTTTTTTTGTAAGTGTAGGAGGATTCCAATGCTACTTTTTAACATATAAAGATCAAGATACTAATCATAATTAACTATCAGGGTTAATATTGATTATCCCTATCAATTACCATATCATATAATCGGGTTTAAAATGGAAAGGAAAAAGGAGAGTATAAAAAATAAATAAATTAGGTTAATCATATATGATTTAGATACATTTGGTAAGTGAATGATGCAACGCTTTTAATGAACCGATCCAACATATACTTGTCTAAAAATAAAAATTAAAGAAAGAAAGAGAATAAAGAAAAAAAACACTTTTGTATTTTTATTAAAAAATAATAAGCTGAGAGGCAAGGAGAGATCTTATCAATTGTTAAAATCGATTCAAATCAAATCGAGTCATTTTTTTTATTTGATTCGATTAAAATAAGATAGTCTAAATTAAAATTAATTCAGATCTATCTATCTAAATCGATTCAAGATCGATTAATCGAATTCGATTAATTGATTATCTAATTTATAATTTTAAATAACTTAAAAAATATATTTTTCAAATGAAACAACTTTAATTCAATTGAATCGAATCAAAATCTTAATCCAATTAGACAACATGACGATATTTATAAAATTAAACATGTGTTATTTATAAAATTAGACAGATTAATGGATTTAAACCGATTAATTTTTTTTTTGAGCAATAATAATATCTTACCTACGGGTTTGTCTCCTCTTCTTGCTCTTCCCCAACTAGTTCTGAGCTGCAATTTTTTTATATGAGAAGGATACGTTTCAATTGAACAACTGCTCACCTCAGATCAGTAAGAAATCAAAACCAGTTGCTTCATGTAGCCTACAAGAAACAGAACAAATCAAATCACATAACATAGATCAGATTTAAGTAATACACATTATCTTCCACCTAATTACAAGAACATCTTACCTTCGACATATAAATAGGTCACATATCTTGTCCGCAGTCAAACCAGGTTAGATAATATATTACTTGCTATAGTAAATTGAAATCAACTAGGAATAAATGCGGTCCTAAAAAATTGATCAAGTTTGACGACCGACTCAAAGTGTTTAACCTTAAGCGAATAATAAAACATCCATCAAATCCTTATAACTCAATCAAAGTCCTAATTCATTTCCGATGTAGGAATATAGCCCACAGCTCTAGCACTCTGATGCCGGCAAAGGATAACAGAAAACAGATCATAGTTTATGATAACTCCGATAAAAATCATCCAGGTTACATGGAAAGCCAATAGCCACCATTTCACTGGGTGGACTCTTATTCCATTACAATTTAGTTACAAATAAAAGTAAAACTTGTTGGATATCTCATGGAATCGAGCACTGATAGAGAGGCAGAGCTCCCCAATGCCTCACGCTCCGCATTCTATTTCTTCACCTGCAAAACAACCAGAACTCTGAGAAGCTGAGAACTAAAATTGAACCAACCAGATGCTTATAATATGTAACAGCCTAGGCAAAACAAATCATATTGGACACTCGGTTAGCCTGCAAGTCGCTGCTATAAGTACGATTGTCCTGATTAAGATCACTTCATTAATCTACGATGTCTAAAGAACTAGACAACAACTTGAAGATAAACTTTGCAATTCATTTTCTAGCTAAAATAATACTTTGACAAAAATGCTCAAGCCATAAAAACAAGTTAACATTTGTTATCACAGAGTCAACTAGCTCAATAATGACTCAGTTTATTAAGTGTGATTGTAAAAGAGATCCCATCACCAAATTTGAGATACAATGTCAAGGACAAACAGTTCTACAGCAACTAATCAGACATTTTTTATAAGATAGGACTCCTTGAATGGCTTAAAAATAGTATGTGGAATCTATGGTTTACCTGCTCAATAGTAGTAGACTATTAGGTTGCCGTTTTAACAGAAAAAGAAAATATGCTTATAATTGAGTACACTATTGATTAAATCAAATTTCTTTATTCCTCGTTGAAAAAGAAAGATATGCATAAATTATCATAAAATTACTTGGAATAGTCTTATGAGACATATCATATGTACTTATAAGTAATATTTGAAAATGAAACCAAACAGGAGCACAAGAAATGGTGAATCATTGGTGTGAAATTAGACCTCATCCGATGATCCCAATACCATTTATAACCACAAGTAATTTTAGCAACCGCTGTGTGGATGACTCAAGGTTTACTAAGCTAATTTTTCAGTTCTGAGATTCACTAGCTCATTTAAGTTTGACATGAACTCAAGTTGAACGCAGAAACGTTGGTTCCAAAATGCTTACAACTTCTAGTAATCCTACGGCTAGCGGAAGCAATGAAGTCTTAATATATCTAAGACAGGTTTAGCAGGTAAAATTGGCTTTTTGATCTAGCTTCCTTTTAAAATTAATTACAATCAACGCATAGAAGGTGGTCAAAAACTTTTCCAGGGCTACTGCATAGGGGTAAAATTGGCTCTTTGATCTGGCTTCCTTTTAAAATTAATTAGAATCAACAAATAGAAGGTGGTCAAAAACTTTTCCAGGGCTAATGCATAGGGGTAAAACTGGCTCTTTGATCTGGCTTCCTTTTAAAATTAATTAGAATCAACACATAGAAGGTGGTCAAAAACTTTTCCATGGCTAATGCATAGGGGTAAAATTGGCTCTTTGATCTAGCTACCTTTTAAAATTAATTAGAGTCAACACATAGAAGGTGGTCAAAAACTTTTCAAGGGCTAATGCAGAGGGGTGGATACTATTCTAGCCATAGATGGTGGAATCATGAATGACTATCATGTTTGACAAGCCTGAGCAAAAGGGATACCCACATACACAAGTATAGAGCTTTCAAATATTTTGCCTTTACCAGAGGTGATAATCCTAATAATAGCATGAATCCAGAAGCCTTAGAGTTTCTATTACCTTTAAAATCAACTTCTGGATCTTTGCTAGAATGTTGCTGCTGCTTTTTGGTAATTCTTAATAATTTAAGAACTAGACAAAAGGAAGCTGAAGAGAGAGAAGCTCAATTTTCCAGCTAGCAGAATATACATATTGCTAAGTTCCAATCTATTGTCCCCTTATCTGACTGCACAAATTTCCATGGAAATCAACTTTTTAACTCATAAAGCAAAAGGAAAATTTCTGTTCATGCACAATCAACTGGATTGTCTTTTTTCAAAAACAAGTTTGGCTTATACTAAAAAGCTACAGAATGCTGCTGCCACTTATTACAGTTGATAAAATGAATATACAGTGTTAAGCACTCTGTATGGTCCTATGGAATTCTACAGTATACAGCTTTAGCAGATAACAGTTTGGAGTTAAGCATGCTGCGAGTTCATAGATGAGCCTAACTACCTAACTCGTAATTGCTTAGCCAGTCCCCTGGAATTAAAGGCAGCTGAGGATATTGATGAACTACTATAAAGTTACTATAGAATAATTGATAACAATCAACATTAATGAGCAAATCTCCCATCCCAAGCATTGAAAACATTTTGAAAATGTATAGATACTACAATTAGAAGAACATGGTGTAACTGTCAGATTTCCCATATCAAGCATTGGAAAAATAAAAAAGCTAAAGATATTATAATTAGAAAGACATGGTATCGACTGTGGAGGATAATTCAAAAGAATCTATTACCTAAAAAGATCAAAAGTCAATGGCAAAAGAAACACGACAAATAAGCATGGTGTTGACTGTTGAGAAGAACCAAAAGAATATATTACAAAAATAAAAATAAAAACCTGTGAATGATTAAGAAACACAAGAAAAAAGAAATACAATTTGCCAAAAAAATAAAAGACACATAAACAAAGAATAAGATAATCTGATTATGGAACCTCATTTATAGCAAAATTGGAAAGAACTAACCTTAAACACGATGTACAAGAACAGAGAGAAGTACAAGAAATGATGCAAGGAGAATGAGAGGTGGAAGAATGTCTCAGACAATTAGTAAAGTCACATCAGGATGGAGACAGAAGCTCTTATTATACGATTAGAGCAATCAATTTATGTGATATATAGCTGGAGACTTGAACTAGTTAAGTTCCCTTCTTTATCCAGGTAGCAAATCACAATCATATATAGAATATCATGGGTCCTAGAAGAAAGACATTTTGGAGACTATGGTATAATGTCAAAAACAAGAATGCCAAATAAAGCAATGACACAACATATTGCTTAAATTACACTACAAATATTGGATAATGTAGTATCAGCCAGCCCATTAATAAAAAAAAATAAGATGCCAATGGAGTTATCAAGTTAATATTGCATGAATGTTTTAAAAGTTAAGCAAATTGAAATTAAAAAACTCAGAAGTATGTGGACTTAGCGACATCTTACGTTAAATGGGATATACAACCATTACACGCTAGCATACTATGTCCAACAAATATCAGATCGTGTGAAAAAAAGAAATCAATAAGTAGCATACAATTGGCAATCGGTGTATTGATCAGTAAATACATGGAATAGTTCTAATCACCAGAATTAGAATAACTTATTATTAGGATGAAGCAACTAAGATTAACAATAACCACTAACACATGGGTACAGATGACATCAAGTCTCTAAGCTCAAGAACTAAAACTTGACAAATGAGAAGATGAACATTATGGAAGGTTTGATACATATATATAATGAATAAAAAAAGTGAAGGCAAGATTTGTTCATTAGAATTACTCGCAAAAGCCAGCATATCTTTTAGATAGCTTCTAAATAGTGTTTGCAATGCCCGTAAAGACAAAATATTGTTACAAAAGGTAATCAAGGTAAATCCTAAATAAGAAATTAAGGCCACTGCTGCCCACGCAAAGTGGCAGAAGTTAATCACCTATGTGTCTAAAATACATTGTTAAGGGGTTGGATGATCCATGCCAAAAAATTTACAGATGTAACAACAACCTTTGCATATGCCTGCATGGAAATACATATTTTCAAGTTAAATCAGCACCACAAGAGTCCAAAAATAATATAGAAGTCTTACATAACAAACAAAGCCAAAATATATAGTGCACATCAAAACACGTTTTGACAGCATAATCAGACAAACTGTCTGGTAGAACATAGAAGCTTTACACAACGAACATGGCCAAAATAGATAGTGCACATCGAAACAAGTTTTGTCAAATAAATTCTTGACAACTGCGCACAGCCTATTGCTAGCTGTTCCTATTATATAACCATGAGAAGACTCATGTCAAGCATATACTATGTGACTTGAATAACACATTACATGAGCACTTAACCGGCTAAGGATGAGAATGATTTTTAATGTAATAACAACCAAAAGTAATTCATTGTTTATGATGTGAAAAAATTAAGAGTGACACTAGTTTCCTAATACGAAAGAGATAGCTCCTTTGCAACCTAGGTTACCAAGGTTCTGCTCATATAAATAGCCTCCTTGCTTACAGGGGCAACATTGTGTACATGCCCACATTGGCTAGAGTATTATGTGTTGTGTTGCTCTTTTTTACGAAATTCAAAAGCAAACAAACAAATTGTTGTGTTATGTTGATGCAGCTTCACAACCAACACCAAGTGATTACCTAAAATATTTTTCCTCCCGAAATATATATGTTGTGCAAAGTCTGTCAGCTCTAACGAAACTGATACAGATCAAACAACAAATTCTGCATTTCAATTCTATATACCTGCAACTCATTTCCACTATATTTCTTGAATATAGGAATTGTTTCAAACCAAAGGCATAAGGAATATGCCTATAAGGTTAATCATTTTCTCATTCAGACTTTTAAATGTTGTGCACCTCTCTTATCGACTAAGCATGTTCTTAGCATGAAGCAAAGATAATTATCAATGAATATGCTTGACCACGAGAAATTAATTTTTAATTCCCCATAACATAAAAAAAGGTGTATATAACAATCTTCATTGTGAAATAAAATAGAAGTAGACTAGTAGGAAGTAGCTTACAAGCTGAATAAGCATCCATTTTTCCTTATATCACAGTACAAAATTTTATTTTGAACAAAGGTATGGTGCCCATGTTTTTCATCACCAAACCAATTCTCTCAATATTAAACCTACATCCTAATGTTCTAACAGCTTATTTTTGTCTTCCCTAGATGACATTTATATTCCCTGACAAATCCAAGTAGAGTTTATTCATAGTATCAAAACTTAAATTTTGTTTACTAAAAGTAAAGATATTTATGATGAACTGTTTTAATTTATTTCACTTTAAACAAGCAAAATTTAAGTTTTATTAGTAAGACCAAACTCTACTTAGATGTGTAGACAGAGTAAGTTATTGGAACATTAAAAGCATTGTGGAGGTGCAATTTCGTGAGCATTGGTTTGAAAAAGAGAAACATTAGCAACACTTTTAATTCAGAACAAAAGGTTGTGCTGAGATATATCGAGTTTCGGATGTTAATCCAGCTTCTAAGTTAATCCCACTTGGTTTACTTCCACTTTATTTGAAAAATGAAAATTCCTACCTGATTTACTTCCATTTTAGTTGACAAAGGCCTTAAATCAATTGTGCCATAAAAATAAAAATATAAGCAACAACACAAACCAATGAGAAGCCATTGCCTGCTGCCAGATTCCTTTTATCAGAAAAGCCGAAAAGTCTCTTTATTTTTTTATTTCACTCAACAAGAGAATCAATCTAGTCAATCAATCAAGCAGTCGACAACCACACTCCCGAAATAATGATATACTCCCCGCAAAAAGCCCAAACGAATTCGATAACACTAACAATAAGAACAAGCCTTTTTCTTCACAAAACGTAGAATAGCTTAAAGAGAATGCATAAGATCCGGCCGACCTGCAAGTCCACGGGACGGTACTCGTGCTTCATGGAGAGATTCATGGCGCTCTTGAGGCGCTGGTTCCTGGCGTCCACCACCTCGCGCGGGAGCCGCGCCAGGACCTCCTTGATGTCCAGATCGTACATCGGATCGTACAGATCGTCGTACATCAGCCCTCTACCAGAAGCAATAAAGATCGATCGGTACAGATTCAAAAGAACCCACTCCAGAGAGCCTTAATCCAGAAGGGGGAAGGGGGCGAGGGGCCACAAGATCACCGTATTTCTTGAGGCGATTGCAGAGGGCTTTGTAGTGCTGGGCGGCGAACCGGTTGCGACGGGGGTTGATGAGCCACTTCATCAACGACGACGCCATCCCCGGATCGGTCGATCGTTTGCTGGCTCAGCTGAATCCTCTCTCTTCCTCCTCCGCGCACACGGCGATAACAGGCGAAGCAGCTGCTGGAAATTATCAACAGTCGTTTGATGGATCAAACTTGCGTTGCTTGCCACCCGAACTCACCAAATCAACCCCCGAACCAAAATAATATATCAAATTTGCATAATCATATATATATATATATATATATATATATATATATATATATATATATATATATATATATATCACTTTAATTCAATTATTTTCAATTTCTATCCCACTATATTATATATATATATATATATATATATATATATATATAGTTAATCGGCGACGATAATCCTACTGTTGTCACTCTTTCTAAGATGTTCGAGAACGCAAAACTATATTGCGTGTGCTTGATAAAATCTCTCTAAAATTTAAATTAATAAATATTAGTATTTATAATGACTAGTTTATATTAGATAATAGATAATATAGGATGATCTATTGTGATATATTGCGCCCTTTTATATATACTGTAATCAGTAGTTATAGAAAATTAAATTATGTTTGGAAGAATCAAAAGATGTAATTATGAATCCGGAACTTATTCAATTATGAGTGGTTAATTATGGGAATCACATGTTTGTTTTATATTCTACTTATTAAGAGTCTATCTTTGCTTTGTGAAGAGTTGATCATGTGTAAGTAAGTCCTCGTATCGTTGAGATGTTGGACCTATGCTATTGAGCTGTCAATAGTCGTGTTTCTCTACACATATAACATATTTTTTTATATATTTTGTTTCTAATTTAAATATATTAATATTAATTATGATAATAATTGAGTTGAATTTTTAGATGAATATTAATATTGAATTCTTTTAAAAATCTTCTAAGTTTATGAAATTTTTATATACCACCTAAAGTTTAAAATTTTTTTATGAAAAAATCATTTTACTTCCTATAATTTTTTATGAAAAAATTTACACATAGTCCTGATGTACTATTCATAGGTTTGGTGTAATGGCTCATCATCGCCTGTATCCCTTGCATGATGGCTCATTGGTTACGAAGGAATCATACAATATTATTATAGTCTTCGCGTGCCCCCTCCTTATCATTTGTCATAGGAGAGGGAGAGACAAGTGACAGAAATATATTATTATGAAACTTTGAGATAAATATATAAAGATCCCAAATATTATTTGATCTTCTGTGTCATCTTATTATTTTTATTTGACCTATAATTTAATAGATATGCACTCACTTAAAAAGATTCTATATATGTGATAATTATCAAGCCAGTGACGTGACATATACGTTATTTATTTACCATGATACGAGTGTGTTATATTTTTTTAGCTCTATTTTGTAAGAGGATTTCATAGCCTTTTCAACACATGCTATAATAAAAACGGAGATTTGGTTTCTTAGGATATTGGGATAAGAATCTCGTAAATTATAATCTCGATATAACATGTGTGGGAATCCCCTTATATAACATATAACATACATATAAATTAGACTTCGGTAAAAATATAGTAGTGTTTCAAACTATTTTTCTCTTTTATTTCATGATGAATGTAAAAATGATCTTGAGTTTCAAAATTAATGTAGTTGACTTATCATGAGCAGTAATGGAAGAATTGACCCATTAATTTGATAGATATAACCTTATTAATTGAAGATTTGAATGGACCAATAAATAAATATTACACGAATCTACTACAATTAACCTTAAGTTTAAAGATTTTGAGTTAATAATTAATGCTAATAAAGTCATTGAGTTGATTACTCATCATGACCTAGAGTTTGAGTGAAAAAAAAAGGTCTGAAATTGTAATTAACTTATAAAGATTTGATATTTCTTTTATTAATTTTAATTTTAGTATTTTGAGTTAATAATTTAGACTCAACGTTGACAATCATATTTGATAGTGCTCAGTGAGACGCTCGGTAAAAGATTAGATCATACAAGGTCCATATGTCACATAATTAGTTAGTTTTGTCAAAATCGTGCAACACCTATGCGTGTTCATCCGTAAAGGTCTGATATCTCTATTGCACACCGCTTCATTCATGGTAACTTGAATGGCAATATTGTGGTGTATTCTTCAAGAGTATCCACATTCGCGTCCTCTTGCCTCGTGCTAAGGCCTTTTGAACTCAACTTCGCCTCCACAAGTTGAGTCATCTTGATTCCTCTATCAAATGCTTCTTCGAGATAAGGTGTATGTGCTTAGAAGTTCATTTCATCTTTGGTACCATGCAAGATGTGCCCGCTCCATCAGAATGAAGGATCCATAGAACGACATGATATCGCTCTTGCCTCTGCAAGAGTTCATGTCCTTGACCTCTATCCAAGGAAAGCTCTATGCCTCTGCTTCATATTTCATCTTCTATGTTAGCCCCCTTCATACGGCTTGGGTATTTCGCTAAGTTATACTTATATTGCTCTACTCCTCGATTTGTATTGAGTTGATGATGGTTCTCACGCCCACCATTCCATGGGTCAGCCCTCCATTGAGTCTAATCTTCATATCAGCTCCAAGTGTGCCTTCATTTTGTGTTGCCTTAGGTCATTTCCCACTTGATCTCATAATGCATCCATCAATGCATTACCTCATGCGAGATCATATGATGACTCCTCACCACTCGCTCGGTCCATTGAGTTTTGTGGAGTTCTAATCTTGAGATACTCCTCCTCAACATATACGGTCTGTTGCACATGATTCTCCCTTTGGAGAATCGAGACTTATCCTTCCAATGTATCTGTCCCGTTAAATCAACTTCTCTCTTTACATCCTTCCCTTTGAAAGTTTCGGAGTCCACCATCCCCCTGGACTATTCCGCCTTGCTGAACAAACTGCATTACTTTGCCCCTGCAAATGCACTTGCTAGATTGTGACTCCTCGCCAATACATCCCCTGCTACACCCATCAAGGCCTAGCAACATGCTGAACTCATTGCACACTTTAGCCTTCTATGGACATATCATTCTCATGCCAAATGGAAAGTTTCAATGCTTCATGGTACCAAGTTTCGATCATCTTGGGATGGCCATGAACATTCTATCGTCTACATATAAGCCATTGCATGAGTTCCGAATTTTTCGAATAAGCAATTCCTCTCACCTCTATGAGCTTTGCATAATTCTTTCGGTCATTGAACAACCAATTCTATCTTACATGATCTCATCATTTACCAAGTGCCTCGCTTGCCTTGAGCACCATCAAGTATGGTTACCAACGTCGAGCCATAGCTTGAACTCAGTCATCCCAACTTTTGTGCGCTACGCATTCTTCTCAGCTTGTTTATTCTCGTAGTGTCTCTTGTACGAAGGGTTGATCATTCCTATGAATGTCAATCTTAGATGCCCGCTCCTTTAAGTGACTCATTTTCCTTATATTTCCATGTCAGTTTTCTCCAAACGGTCATGCGTACTGGCTGCCTTCAACGTAGGCACGTTAGATCCCTTATGTTTGCATGTCAAATATTTCTATAAATGTTTGTTCCTATGATACTATATCAGATCAAATCAATTGATATCAAAGTTGATCCAATATTAAAACATAATAAGAGACTTTTAGTAGAATAATAATTACTATAGCACATAACCACCATTAATATAAGTTATGAAGTAGTTTAACATATACATCAAGCCGTGTCGAGTTTACTCTGACATCAAGAACTAAGATTCAAATTAACTGTCTGATAAATATACTATTATTAATTTTAATTCTAAAAATATTATCGCATCAGATTGGATCATCATAGAAATTAAATAACATGACGCTGTCAAACCAACTTAACTAAAGATCAATCATCTGATCTTTGATCAGCATATTCGACTCGACTTGAACTAAAACACTTGGTCAATGGTTTGGATCGAACAACATCATCATTTAAAATTATATATATGTCGCATTGCAACGTGTATTGAATTCGTAAAGTCACTTTGAGTTTTCACTAAACGCATTAAGTCTACAAGATAATGAGCTTACGGAAAGTTTGACATGTAGAGTACATTAGCCTTAATACCGAAACAAAACAAACAAAATTTGTAGTGTTTCAATGGAAATTAAACACAATAACGTAAATTCTACACGGATAGATTCTTAGAATATCTTTTGTTACTTTTATTGATTATTTAATTTCCTGTTATAAAAATACAAAGATTATTCATTTATATACGATGTTTTTGAATGGATATTAAATTAATGTCTTAATAGAAATTAGGTACAACTACTCGTGGAATTTGAATGGATATTTTACCTTTTAAATATTCTTTTGACATATAAAAAAAATAATAATAAAGAATCATGAACCTTCCGATCGATTGGCCCACATTGGTCAGAGGAGGGAGGAGTCAACGATCGAAATGATTCTGAATTAACCATTCCCCACGCATGACCACTCATCCAATAAAGCATGAGAAGTCTTTTGTAATCCCCATACACTAATAATCTTAAATCAACGATTCGATATCTTATCATATATAATTTTTTATATCCAATTCATGTTGTATTGAGATCTTTCGAAATATTTAATCTGATTGTTCCAATAAAATTTTCTTTTGATTTTTAATTTCATAAAATTATTTTTCTTAATATTTTATTTTACAATTAATTATATTAAAAATAATCTATAACGAGTCCGGATAATTGACACCGTTACTTGGATCGAGGAATAAAGTCCGCTCCGTCATGATTCGCCGAGCACCGTAGTGAGGACATGTCACGTGGACGGTAACTCACGGAGGGTCCCAGTGGGTAAAGATGGCGTTCCTGTAGTGGACAAACGCCGCACAAAAAGGCGACCGGTGGATGCTACGCGTTACGCAGTCACCTCGGCCCCCACCCCAGGCAGCGGGCCCCGCCCCAGCCTTTTTAGTTCCACATCAGTCAAATCAGATCCAATGTGGTTTTACATGTTTGTCCTTATAAAGATATAAAATCACACAATTACCCTTGTAATTCTAATAATTAAAATGGTAGGTATATAAAATAGGGAATATCTAAAATATATCTATAAGTTTTAGGATGTATGTATAATAGGGATGTATATGTAATTTACCAAATAATTTTGTGCCCCCCACCTGCCTTATATATGTTACATTATAATTAAGTTTTAATATATATAGGGATATATATGTAATTTGGTGAATAATTTTGTGGC